CCGGACCTCAACCGCAAGTGCCAGATCGCAGTGGGAATTGCCGGACCTCAGCCGCAAGTGCCCGATCGCAGTGGGCACTACCAGACCTCAACCGCAAGTGCCAGATCACAGTGAGCACTACCGGGCCTCAACACACAACACGCAACCACACAACATACCCACAAACACACAATACAGAGTACACAGCCAACAAAACACAAACACAAAACATAACCACAAACACAACCACAAACACACGACCCAGAAGCAAAATCAAAGACCACAAAACCCACGACCATGGCAAGATGCTCCTCCCCATGGCATAAAATGGCATGAAAGCAAACGATTGAAATGTCATGGTGGGAATCACTCGACCTAAAGTAATTTCTTGTTTGTTTTGTCTATTTTTGAGCTCTCCCATACTCCAAACGGCTGCTCCATGAACTGAGAGTGTTCCGCCCACAAGCCTCTGCTGGATGAAGTCATCCTTAAGGACTCATCCTAAAAACTCCACCAAACATATCTCCTGTCAGACTTACAAAACACTCTCAAGTCTAGAGCTTCAGAAAGATATGACTATAATCGAATCGTACCCCAAACACGAAGTCCGTCGTGTGTTCCTGGCAAGTGACAAAATGACTGTATGTATACCTTTACATTGCTTCATGCTGGGACCTGGGCTGAGGTCGGACGTATCCTGAGAAGGAGTGCGCCGCATCACTGAAAGGTAGATGAAAAGCGGTAGCTGCTCAGTTGCATGCGACACGTACTGAGGGCGCCCTCTGCCTAAGGATGCAGGTGTTGTTTGCCATGCACAGCTCTATGAAGGCACCAACTCAAGCACAGGCCTTCAGCATTCCCTTGCAATGTCCTACAGCGACAATCGTTGCAGGTCATTTCTGTACACCTGGACTTCTCATGAGCATGAGAAATGACGCAGGAACGAATCTAGGTCAGCAGCGCGAAGGAATTGGCTGAATGAGGGGAAGATTCATGCTCCCCTTGGTGGGAATGTTGATGTCGATGAGCCAACTGCCTCCTTGAATTGATGCCACGTTATGTGGAATATACAGAGGATCAAAAACGACAACTGTTCGTTGAAGCGCATCAAACGCCTTTAGCAACACCCGAAAATGAAGCACCTCTCTTCTTCCTCCTCAGCTGGGTCCTCACCAAAAGATAGGTCAAAGAACACACTTAACGCCACGTCAAACACAGGCTCTCGCGACCAGCTCTGTAAACAAGATAGTGCTTGCCACGCAAAATCAATTTCTGAGCATGCCGTTCACTTATCGATTGAGCTGCCCGCTCGGCGAAATCGACCATCTGTGAAATCATTCTTTTCCACCTCAACGATATGCCGCCTGACATGAGACGGGTGATTATGTTTGCTAGTTCAAGGCCTCCGTTCACGTGCCCACCAGGCCTTCGAAGAATCCAATCTCTGTGAATGGTGTCCCCAAGCCTTACAATATTCCATGAAGAGTGTCACAACATGTCGCAAGACAGTACTTATACACGACCTTCATTCACCCATGAAAGAAACCGCTCCGATAAGCCCAACGCGTCATGGATTTTTCAGGCCTTGGAATCTGCAAAGCTTTCACTGGGTGAGGCTTTGCGATGAAACTCAGGAAACGGCTTGGTCCAGGGTTCGGTACGAGTTCTCCGTGTTCCACCGAAGCCACCCATGTGCGTAGCATGAAACCTGAAGCGTGACATTTACTTGGGTCTCAGCTGCTTTCCTCTCTCTCCAAGCCTGAGCACCCCCATTTCTGGTGCACATTCCTTAGGGTGTTTGAAAACAAATTGATATCAGGCTCGCCAAAGGTGTTCTCCAAGAAAGGGAGGATCCCATCAACGGACCACCCGCACCTGGGTGGGTTCTGGGGTTCAGGCCGTTCGATGTCGGGTGAGATTCAACCTGGGTTTATAATGGTGTATACCATGTAAATAATATATTATATAGTTATATATATATATATAATGCACCATTGGCCCTCCAGTTGAGCGCATCGCGCTGCTTTTCC